TGTTTTGTTTTTCTTTGTTTTCTGGCCTCCTGTGTTCCTTAATGTTTTCTAGTAAGAATAAGTCATGCTTCATTGACACTTAGCATATGTGCTAGACGCTAAAGGTTCTTCAAGACAACTCTGGAAGAATTTCTAGTATTGTTAATAATATAAGTAGCTCCATTATTTTTTAGGGGGCAGGGTGTACTGAAGATTGAACCAGTATAGGAGTACTTAAACACTGAGCCACACATCCCCAGTTCTTTTTTGTATTTTATTTAGAGACAGGGTCTCACTGAGTTGCTTAGGGCCTCTCTAGATTGCTGAGACTGGCTTTAGACTCGCAATCCTCCTGCCTCAGCCTCCTAAGCTGCTGGGATTACAGGCATGCACCACAGTGCCTGGCTAATAGCTTCATTTTTAAAATGAGGAAGGTGAGGCTAAGAGAAATTAAGAATTAAGTAATTTTTTAAAAAATTATTTCGTTTGGCTTGGGAGTGTCACTCAGTGGTAGAGCATATGCTTAGCATGTGTGAGACCCTGGGTTCAATCCCCAACACAACCAAGAAAAAAAAAATAGTTCATAATATGTACAGCTGAGATTTGAACCCAATTCCCAAATCTACACTCCTTGAATAAGATAATCTACCTCCCTAAGCCTTGGCTCTCCCAGGGCCTTCAGAGTGAAGGGAAGAGAATCCTTTGTCTCTGAAATGCCAGGAGATGCCAGCATCCCTGCACCTGCCTTCACATTTCCCTTCTCGGGTTCCTAATGAAACAGATTCAAAGATGTGGCCTCCAACCTCAGCCAGCTTCCTGCACAGCAGGGCTTCTCCCCTGTAGGGAAGTGGGCAGGACCATATCCTCTGAATTTAGGGCATTGCTCTACATGTTTTCCAAGGAGTTCTGCTACAGGAGCGGGTAAGGAATCTGGTCTTTGGAAGAAGAAACTGCTGCCTGGGATAAAAGAGTGGGCAATAGCGAGGTCACTTGTGCTGTGACTGATGGGGTACAGGTATGGTTTAGCTTTCAAGTGTCAGGAATGCTTGAGTCCTAGTGATCTGTCAGTGATGACAACTCGCATTCAAGCCTTCTTTCCCCTCTGGCCTGTGCAAGTAAGCAGTTCCTTCCCTTCTTGCTCAGAGAGCAAGGCTAGTCCTTAAGAGTTTGAGGTCTGACTGCTGAGAGCAAGCGCAAAACCAGGTTGGAAGATAGAGTGATGGCAAAGGGCAGAGAGCTCATCTCTGGGAGAGATGTCATAGAATGTGTGCCCAGACAAGAGGCGGGAGTCAACGGAGAGCAGAGGACAGGCTGGAGCTCTGGGTCATTGTCAGATCTTGGCAACACTGGTGGGGAAAATCAAATGATTCTGTTGGAAGAGGAGGGAGGAGAGAGGATGAAGTGGAAATACACTGGACTGGAATTTAGACACCTGGCTCCTCCACTAACTTGTTTCTTTGGTTCATTTCCCTGTTCTCTGGCAGGTTGAGAGTGGAAGAGTCAAGAGCAGGACACAGGGAGGAGAAAGAGACACAGAGAGAAAAAAGAGAAGGAAACTAGATGTGCACGTGTCCCTGGGGTTTTCTCAGACAAAGCTATTATCAAAATGCCAACCAGCTCCTGCCTGGCTAATTTGCATATTCCACGCTGTGCTCTTTGAAGCAGGATGAATATGCATGAGGGCTTGGGCGGGTTGTGGGGCTGTTGGGCTGTGGGCTAAGGTGGCTCATTGTTCTTTTAGAAGAAAGGCATTAAGAAGCTAAAGAACCTTCCGGGTCAGCAGAGTGACCTGTGCTTCCACTCCCTAATGAAAGGAGGAGAGCAAACCTTAGGCTCAGACAGGAATCCAAACACCTTTTCTTTCACCCTCTCAAGGAAATAAATAATCTGGCGCCATCAAGAAAGGGAGTGCCTCTTCTCCAAGGGTAACATTTAATTACCCCTCTCTCTGTGCATACTAATCACAGAGGCTGGCTGGTGGTGAGGTGATGAGTCACCTCTCCTGGTTTCTGTGAAAACAGCCTGTCTCTCTCCACTTCTTGCTTCTGCTGCAAGGAAACTTGGGCATTCTGAGATACTACCTGGTTTTGACCTCTGGTGTCGAGCCATGATGCCCTCAGTGACCGGGCTATGGTTGGAGTGCCTAGGACTGAGTGGGTGCTCAGCAATGCTCAGGAATGGCCTCAGTCAAGGCCATGAGGGCATAAGACATGCTAAAACTGGGTAGTGGCTGGAGTGTAGCTCAGTGGTAAAGCACATGCTTAGCATGCATGAAGACCTGGCTCAATTCTTAGCACCAAAAATACAAAGGCAACTAAAGGATTGTGCCTAATACTTGAGAGTCTCCATCTCTTTCTTCTTCTCTGACCACTAACTGAAATGGCTTATATAATTTTAAAAACCCAATTTGTCCTTCAAACTTTGAGGGCACAAAACCCTTACCTTGAAGTTCTCTTTCCAAGGAATTACATCTGTCTCCCATCCTCAAATACACCTGGGAGGACAGAGAACATGGACTATTCTATTTGGAAAATGGTCTGTCCCCCATGATCACTGCTTCAACTCTACATAAATCAAGAGTAGCCTCTAGCTCTGCAGTAGAATTTTCTAACTGGGACTAGACTAGTTTGCAAAATCCTTCAATAAAACTACACCTCAGTAATGGACCTACTAGTGCCAGAAAGGTCTCCATCCTACCTACAAGGGGGCTCCCTACAGACCTTGGGCCTGCAAAACTCCTCCTTGAGTGCAGACATACTAGACCAGACGAGTTTTGCAGCTAACTGACTGGACCTGTAAATGTCCCCCCTTGTTAGTTCCCCCTTGGAACCCTTCCCTGTTGTTATACAATCAGGAATTATGAGAACAGGGGAAGGGACCATGAGGCATACATGCAAATTCTTGGGGTCATAAACTAATATAAATATTAGTTCTTTGACAAATATGGATGACTTTGATTCTGCAACTCATTGGCACTAAAGATAGAGGCCACTGGTGGTGTGAGGTCATTAACAAGTTTGACACTTTGCCAGCTGTGGGGTTTTTCATTAGTCTCAGCAAAAGGGAAGCAGTGAGTCCCTAAGAGCTTCGGATTTGTCAGATCTGGGTCAGCCACTCCTTTTCCCCCAATTTATCCTGCCAGCAGGTGTGTGAAGCAACAGAGACAAACTAATCAAAGCTTCTGGTAGTAAAAAATAAATCACAAGTGTCAGGGACACATTCTTTCCAGGAGGAGGTGAGTGGGGAAGGGGAGAAGAGCAGCTCCTCTTTCTGTTGGCCTTTTGTCCACGTTGGAAGTGTAGAGGGTCTATGACATCCATTCCTCATGGTTTTGCATGACCTTTCCCTATATCCTTGCTACTCCAAGCATGGTGCCCAGCTGTATGGTCCTCACCTAGCAGCTTGTTATAAATGAAAAGTCCCAGGCCACATCCCAGACCAACCAAGTCAGAATCTGCTTTTAATAGGACCCTTGTGGTTAGTATTTTCAATCAAGTCTTGAAAAGCTCTGCTCTAGGTTTTCAAAATTGATGGAATTTTGACTCTCAATACTTAACCCAAGGACATTGCAGACAATGTCTGTGATTAACAGGTGAGCCTAATTCTCTTTCCTGGCTTTCCCCTGTTCTCATCATTCCTGATTGTATAACAACTGCCAGGTGTCTCTCTGAGGACCTCTGCTGTCTGTAAATGCTTGAATTAGAGCTGCAGACAGTGGGTTGTTTCCCTGGTAGGGTTAAGTCCCTATCCCCTGCCCCAGGCAAGATGGTCTACTGGACTTCTTTTAGACAATCAGAGGCCCAGAAAGTGAGAAGCAGAGCACCCAGAATGTCTTCTACTGTCACCTATGTCAACCTTGTGGTCTTCTGTGCAGTAGTTAACATAGTAAAGTATGGCTCTCCGTGTGACATGCTTGGTTAAAGCAAACCCTACACTCCTAATTGGATAAGAGACCTAAGTGCCAGTTTGTCTCCATCACTTCCTATACAGCCTTGGGCCACCTGCTGCAGATCTCTGCTTCTTGGTTTCTCCTGGAAAATCACAATAAAACAAGTAAATACTTGTACATAGGGTTGCTGTGATGTGAGGACAGTGTGTAGAAAGTGAAAAGGCCAGTGGCAAGCACATAGCAAGTATCCCATAAAGGTATTTTGTTTGTTTGTTTTATTTTAAGAGAGGGAGTATAGAATTGGCAGAGTTAACAACATCCAACCCAGAAAAGGAAGACCAAAGGAATTCAGGTTGTGGTGAAGTAGAGCCCATACCTGGGACAGGAGAACAGCATTTGACAGCTGCTTAGTCATGGTTAGAAGCTGCGTGTTGTTTTGTTTTGTTTTGTTTTGTTTTGCTCAAGATTGAACCAGGAGCACTTTACCCATCCCTTTTTATTTTTTATTTTGAGATAGACTCTTGCTAAGGTGCTGAGACTGGCCTGAACTTGTAACCCTCCTGCCTCAGCCTCCCACATCGCTGGGATTACAGGTGTGTGCCAACATGCCCAGCAGCTGCTTGCTACTGATGCCAGAGGCTGCATGTGAATCAGAGCAACCAGACCTCAGGGCTGCAGGATGAGCAGGGACGATGTGCGAAGTCCTGGGGTGCTGTTCCCTGGGGTGGGGGCAAAAGAAGAGAAGCCACAATTTCCTATGTCCCTCCAACCCCAGAACCCCAGACCTCCAGGAGCCAATGTAGCTATCCCGACAGGAGGCACTGCAGTTGCCTGGCTCCTCCTTGAGCTATTCTCTCTCCCCACTGATCTGATGCCCCCTTTGGCCAGCTAATTTCTACAACATATAGTCCCTTTAATAAGGCCACACAGTAAAATCTTAGGAGTCTGTTGATGGCCTCCTTCTTCTGTCTGTACCTTATGTACAACCCACAGGGCATTATCCTGGTCCATAAACACTATGCTAACTGCCACGAGCCACAGGCCAGCATGTAAAGGTAGCTACATATCCTTCCTATAAAGGGTTTGAAACAGAGAGCTGATGGACACCATACTCCAAAGCACATAAAGAATATTAATTAAATGAAGGTTTATTTCAAAATTAGTCTTAGAGTATAAGCTGTTTTTGAGGGCTGGAGCCAGACTATATAATGAGCGGTGAGAGCTTCTGCCTTCCCTGACATAGGCGGAGAGGAGGCGACATCACCGGCCCTGCGCCCCTATCATGCATCCAATGATTGCTAGCACTAGAAGCCAACGGCAAAGGACCCGCGCAATTGCTCATGTTTAATCCAGGTTAAGCTATACACGTTTAAATACACGTCGGAGGTTACGTGGTGTCATGCAGTCCCCGTGATGGAATGACTCTTGCTCAGTGACCTCCTGCAACCAGGCTGCTCCAAAGGCAAGGTTAGGTAGGACAGAGCACTGAAACGAGAGGAGAGGCGAGAGATCAAGCACCGTGGTGGTCACACTAGGTCCTGAGCAGAAGATAACCCCTTAGAACCAGGCAACAATTGTAGTCATGTGTTCTCCTTTAAGGAATGAGAAGAGACAATGATGGGTGGGTGGTAGGTGGACTGATTAAGCATGTACTCTCCAGGGCCCATCTGCCTGGGTTCAAATCCTGGATCTGCATTACTCAGTCTATGACCTCAGAGAAATGACTTCACCTACTCATGTTTGTTTCAAATATGTACAGTAGCACGTACCTGCGCCTACCCAACAGGGTTGTTAGGAAGCAAGTAGAATGTGCTCACATTAACTACTTTTAGAAATTCATTGACAGTTCTAGGGATGGTGAATGGTAAAATCTAGCTCTCAGACCACAAAACTTGTATCATCCATTTCTACACATTTCTTTTGAGAAATTTGCTTTTAAAATAGTTAAGAGCCACAAGTTCTTCCTAATATTTAACCTAAGTCCTTCCTACTGAAACTTAAGATTAATCTCTCTGATCCTAACAGTAGCAGTATAGCCCAGGGTTTTGAAACTATGAATTCTCCAAACCATTTGAAACCATAAAAAGGTTTGTTTGCACATAGAGCAAAAGCTAATAAAATAATGGATCTAGACACTATTAATATCACAAAAAGAAAGACAACAGACAATATATGACTGTGATGGAAGTCTTCAAGCCTCTCATTCTATCAGTTCACAGGAATTAAAGGAGAGGGAAGAAAACTGTAACTTAGCTGAGGGATGAAAAAAATCTTGGGTGAGGAAATTCTGTGGGACAAAAAAAAAAAAACAGGAACAACAACAACAAAAAAAACCCCACTAATTTCTCCAACAAATACATTTCAAGGAATGAAAGGAAGGAAAGGGGAAACCTATGTATATTAAAAGAAACCTAGGAAATATCAAAAAGCAATAGGGCTGGTAGTGTAGCTCAGTGGAAGAGTATTTGCCTAGTATGCTCAAGGCCCTGGGTTGAAGCCCAGGTGCCATAAAATAAATAAATAACAAAATGCATTGGCCTTCATTGGATCCTGATTTGAACAGATAAACTGAACAACATTATATAGGAGAGTCAGGGTAATCCAAACACTGATTGAATTATAAATGATACCAAGAAATGTAGAATTAAGAAAATGCTTTAGTGTTGGTGTAATAACTATGTTTTTCTAAAAAGTCCTTATCTTTTAGAAATGCATACTGAAATATTTATGGATGAAAGAATATGATAACAGAGATTTGCTTTAAAATAATATAGAAAGGGAGAAGTTGGGTAGGGTATAAAGAAATAAAAGTTAATGAGTTAATGATGGCTGAAGCTGGATAGTAAGTACCGTTCACTCTACTATCATATGTGTTGAGAGTTTCCATAATAAAACGAAGGAGGGGCTGGGGTTGTGGCTCAGCGGGAGTGCACTAGCCTAGCATGTGCAAGGCCCTGAGTTCGATTCTCAGCACCGCATAAAAATAAGTAAACAAAATAAAGGTATTGTGTCCAACTAAAAAATAAATATTTTAAAAAAATAAATAAAAGGAAGCAATAAAAAGAAGTTGTGGAAGCTGGAGGTGCAGCTGAATGGTAGACGGCCTGACTTGCATGTATGAAGCCCTGAGTTTGGTCCCAGCATGACAAAAAAAAAAAATAATAATATAATAATATATATAAATATATATATATATATTTAAAAATATGATTTCATTCATGACTTCATTTTCCTTTCAAATACTTAAAAAGTTTTAGATTATTTTCAGGCTTTGTTTTTCCAAACTAAATACCACATAGTCCAAACTCCATGAGACTATCACATTGACTCCCTTGTTGGTGTGGAGTCACACTGGTGACTTGGGAAGATGCAATCTCCTCCTTAGGGCTCCTCCTAGCAACACCCATTATTGTGGAGGTCTCACACATGTCCACCCGGTTTCCCTGTCCCACCTCCCTGCCCAGTTGGGTCTGGAAGGGCTTCAGAGTGGCTTCCATAGCTGGAGCAGGAGTCCCCAGGGACCACTTCTGCTTCAGGAGGCCTACAGCTGCTCTTACCTTTTAAAATGTAGTCCGTTAGCAAAGTAGGCACCTTCTCATTATCCTCCTTCATGGCAAAGAGAACTAGGGAAGGAAAGGGAGAGAGATGAGCCAAGACCTCATTATGCAGGAAGCTCACTTCTAGGGCCAAAAAACCCCCGAGCACAAAGGGAGTGAGAAACCATTCAGGGAACCAGGCATTCTCTGAGCACAGAGCAGAAGTGTCAGGAGCCAGTGCACCTCATGGTGAGGGAGGCAAATCCAGGTAGAGAGCACAGTGGTGTCTCCTGGGAGTGCACCTATTTGTGATTTTTTTCTTTCCCGTTTTTGGCCCAGCTATAATTTCAATACCACTTACTAAATATATATCTTTAATGACTGTAAAAATAAAGCAATTATTTAAAAAGAATTGGCTTCCAGATAGCATCTACATGCTAATAGTTGTCACATCGCTGAAATCACCAATAAAACTGTCTTGAAAGACATTCTATTCACATAAACACATTAGAATTCTCACTTCCACTTTATTGACAATGAATGAAGTTAATTCAACAATATTTATTTTCTGTATTTTGCTCAATATAATGCTAAAATGTGTGGAGATGCAGAAGAATTAAGGATTCTCTGGGAGTTTGAAGACTTCTTATGAAACCCTGCTTGACCTACACATGAAGCAAACAATACAGAAGCATTTAAAGTCTAAAGGCTTTTTAGAAGCTTTTTCTAAAGTTTTAAAGATGAATTTTTCTAGGGCTATGGATGTAGCCGAGTGGACGAGTACTTGCCTAGCACATGGATTAAATCCCTAACCCAGAAGGAAAAAAAAAAAAAAAAAGCTTGAAGCCGACTTTGTAGAAAATCCTCAATTGATTCTTTCATCAATTAACTTCTGTAAATAGACTACAAAGTATCTATTCAATGTAGTTTTACATAGCCTTATAAAAATGAGAGTGATGTATGCGTATAAGGCACACTTCTTAGTAAAGAAAGAAGTTTCAGAAAACATATTAACTTTAAAAGAAATAAATGCTAATGTTCATTTAAAAAAATCTAGAAGAACAGTATATAAAATTATTAAATAGCTGTCTGAGTGTGAGGCCACAGGGGATGTTCTTTCTACAACATGTTTCTACACTGCCTGGCTTTTCTCATTGAGCATGTTTAGTTTACAACCAGAGAAAACAATAAAGATCAGTAGGCACAGATGGCCAGGGTCAGGAGGCGAGGGCAATGGTGGAATTCCCAATCCATTTGCACATCCTTAGTCTCTGTTGATTCCGTTGCCTCATTCCAAAGCACGGTAATGAAACTTGAATCCAAAAAAAATCAGGAGTGGGTGAGGAATAACACCCAATGTTGATGTGAGTCCATGCAGGTCCAGGAAAAGAAAAACAAGCTGAGGTCCTTTGGTTGTTGGACTTTCCTGTTTTTCTCTCTTCTGTATTTTTAGATATGTGTCCATTTCAACTTAATTGGATACTGAGGGCCCTGACCCTGTTTTCTTTCTTTTTTCCTATATTTTTAAACATGCATTTATTTCCTTTTAATTGGCTTGGGAACACTTGGCAACCAAGCTCCATTCAACAAAATGCCACACCAAGAATATGGCAGTAGCAGGCTGGGGCTGGGGCTCAGTGGTAGAGTGCTTGCTTAGCATGTGTGAGGCACTGGGTTCGATTCTCAACACCATATATAAATAAAATAAAGAAGATGGCAGTAAAGTATCATTGCACTCAGCCAGTAGGTGTCTAAGTTGATCTCCAAACTTCAAAATTTATATAGATGGTCCAGTCACAGAAGCTGATCTTTGGCCTTTGGCCTCCATTCAAGGAGTAGGAATGAGAGGGGAGGCACTGCTCATGAGACCACACAAGGATTGTCCAAAAATGACTGCTTTTATAGTCTATAGGAAAATGGGTATTCAGAGAAGAAGGCAATCTTTCTTTTAAAAGAAATAAAACATCATAATGTAGTACCTTCCCATAATAGAAAAAAGAGAAATAAAAAGAAATGTTAACAAAATGCTAACTGGTGTCACTAAAATCATGATACAACACTTTATAGCCAGTTTAGTCCAACTATAGAGAAAAGATAAAAAGTACTGTGACTAAAACCCCAAATAGTGATGATGAAGGGGACAATGAATTATTTATTTTTCTTTGTTCACGTATTCTAATGTATTCCAAAGTATTCTAATGATAGATGAGCTCTAGCTATAATTTTGTAAATAAACTTAAGAACTAAACACATCCACTCAGAATAGAAACAAGTCTATTTCTTAATTAAATTGAAAAGAAAACCTCATACTAAATTCCTAGGTGGGTATTTGTAATAAATAGTTCTTCCCTTTTTAAAGACCTTGCTCAAGTACTTTATATATATCAACCTGCCAAATTTGTCAAAATTATTTTCCGAATGTTCATCACTATGAAAACACAAACAATGCATTTATGCATTTTTTTTTTTTCCATTTTCTTTTTTCTCTTTTTTTTTTTCTTCTTTTTTTTTTTTTTTTTTTTTGGCAGTGCTGGAGATCCAACCTAGAGCCTCCTGTGTTAGGTAAGCATTCCATCATTGAGCTACATCCCTTGTCCTATAAATGCTTTTCTATCTACTCCCTTAACGACAACAACCACAACAAAGAATGTGCATATTTATGCAAATAGAGGAGTCTAAAATGAGATAGAAAGAAGTCAATGTACTATGAATTTTAAATTCCTGATTCTCAAGGACACAGTGTCTAGTTATGCCAGCAGGATTTGTATTTATCATGATCTCCTGTTTTCGTCCTCCAAATTGATCAAATGAAAACATTAGGTCACCTTTAGCACCAGGGCCCATCAGGCATCTGTGTCTTCCTCTGCTGAATAGCAGCTCCTCTCCCTTTCCCTGGGGTGTCCGACAGCCCTGTGCTGCCCATTCCCTCCAGGGCAGCCCGCAGTTGGCTGGGCAAGCTCTTGACCCATCACTCTACATGCACGGTTGCCAGGGGAATGGAATTTCTCTCTGATCCACTGAGCTTGTCATCACATCTCAGCCTAGGATTTTTTCCTTCCTAACAGCCAAGCTGACACTAATGGTTGACACCATGTGTCCTCAGTCCTTTGGGGGTTGTACTGTTTGATGTACACATATAGAGAGATTTTGCCTACAAAAGACTCTTTATTACACACTGCTTTCTCCCGTAGCTCAAAATGTTTATTAATATAAGACAATAGAGCCAAACAGAAGGAGAGGAGGCAGTCACTTCCTGGAAGGAAAATAAGATTGTTTTTTCCAATCAGCCTTACCCTACCCAAGAAACCCTCACTTCTCATTAAAAATACAGCCACAGGGCTAGGAATGCAGCTCAATGGTAGAGTTCTTGCCTAGCAAGCACGAGGTCTTGGGTTTCCCCAGCACCACACAAACAAAAACACAGCTAGGCCCCCTGCTTCAAGGGGCACAAGTGTGGACCAGGCAACCTGAAGTTCCAGCAGAAAACAGGCAGGGGGCAGATGGTGCAAAGCCTGGGAGGATTTCTGGGGAAACAAACAAACCAAAAAACCCAGCCCCACCCAATCCTCTACCTTTCTCACCAGTTCATTTTTTGTTTTTGTTTTGTTGTTGCTTTGCATTGTCCCCACAACCCCCTGCCCCCCAGCAGGTCTTCTCCCTGACAGGAACCAGGGGAAAGAAGAGACAGCTCTGATTGTCACAGGGTATTTTAATTTTACCCTGTGCTAGAGGACTGGGTAAATGATACAGAGCATATTTTGTGCCTGTGAAGATGCCCTAGGGAAATCTCTGGCCAAGGCATTGGAGGTACACAGCCTGGGAAGGGACCGAGGACAATGAGAAGCCCACCCATGTGGCTGAGGGCCAGAGGCACTCACTGTTTGTCAGCATCTGCAGGTCTTCCACGGAGGGAGGAGAGGCTTTCTTCTCATAAGGGATAACCGTATTCAGGTACTGCAAGGCAAACAGGGAATGCAGGGCCTGAGACAGACTGGGACATCATAAGACACAGTCCCTTGGGGCATGAGGAATGTAGTTTTCTCTAAGACACAGATCTATCAATGCTGACATTCTGGACAACACTTCCAGTCGCCGGCACACTACTATTTCAGAATTCTTTCCCCCACTTTCCAGGGGGAAAACTCTTTCAAAGTAAGACTTTCCCCATATTTGCCCAGGAAAAAACTTCCCTCCACTCCAACGTCTACATCCTTCCTACGTTGGAAACCTGGGGAACTGTTTCTCCTTCAGGCTGAGAGCAAGGAATATCTCTAGGGAAGGTGATCTTTTTATTCTTTGCAGTGCAATGTGAGAAGGAATTATTTCTCTTTTGTCAAAAATGACAGGCAAGAGGATGTCAACCCTGCCCAGGGTGTTGGTTGTCAGATTCGCTCTCTCTGCTGGAGGTGAAGTGCTCCTGCAACAACAACTAAACATGAGAGGCTGGTGGGTACCCAAGACCACCAGGCCAGGGAGACCTTGATAGCCCTAAGGGAGCCTGAGGTGGTAAGTGCAAAACCAAGTGGTTTTGTATGTCAGTCTTGGCTCTGCCACTGACAACAAGGCCTTGGGAACATGCCTGCCTCTTTGCCCTGGGCCATACTTCTCGTGGCTGTGAAAAGACAGGGCTGAGTTTGATGTTCCTAAAGCTTCTTTGCATGCTGCAGCTCTAAAATTCTAATACATTGAATTCAGTTACAACATGTTTAAAAGAATACCCTGCTTTTTCTTTTTCTTTCAAGAATACACTGCTTCCTCCCACCTTCGAAATAAGGGGCTAGTGGAGCATGGTGGCATATGCCTGTAACCTCAATGGTTCAGGAGGCTGGGGCAGAAGGATCAAAAGTTCCAGGACAACCTGAGCAACTTAGCAAGTTGCTCTCTCAAAACAAGAACTAGGGAAAGCACTGCTGAGTTTAATCCCCAGTACCAGAAACTAAACTAAACATAAATTTTAAAAAGGGATATACATTTCATACACCACCAAGTCTATTAGATTATGCACCCCATGAGGACAGCAACCAGGACTTTTCCCCTTTGCACCTAGCAACAGAGCACAGCACATAATAGGAACTCCATAAGAGTCTTTGAACTCTGCCTTAATAATCAGAAATGCTTCTTCACAGATGCTATGGTTTAGGAGTAATTTGAGGGTCCCCCCCCCCAAAGGTTCATTTGTAAAGACTTGATCCCCAGGGTGGCATTATTGGGAGGTACTATGAACCTTTAAAAGGTTGGGATTAGTGGATCCTTAGATTATTAGAGGCATGTTCTAGAAGAAGATTTAAAAAAAAAACAACTTAGTGTCTATCTTGTTTCTCTTTCTCATTCCCTCTCTATCTTTCTCTTCCTGAACTTGAACTGAAACCACTGTACACACACTCATGCCATATGACCCTCACCAGAAGCCAAACCAATGCAGCTACCCAATCTCGGATTTGAACTTCCAAAGCTGTGACCTAAAAAAACCTTTTCTCTTTATAAAGTTAGTTGCCTCGAGTATTTCATTCCAGTAATGCAAAGCTGACTAAAACAATAAACAAGTTCCTGACTAAATGGAGCCAATGAGGAGATGAGACAGCATGAGTTACATACAATCAGAGCCAGGAGACTGAAGAGGCAGACTTGGTGATGTTGGCTTGGCTAGTAATATAATATATTAGAACTGATTAAACTCTAAGATGAGACCTGTCATGAAACAGATTCTCTTTTAATACATTTGTCCTTAAAACAACTCAAATCGTAGATCTAAAGTAGTGTTGGGTTTTCAGTTTTGTACATGTCCAAAAAAACCTAAAAATCATCTTTTTAAAAAGCACTTCCTGTTCTTCACTAAGAGTGGAAAAAAATGTTAGGACCTCCCTTGCCCAAATGCTGTAATTATTCTAGTAAGTCAGCATCCCCTTGGCTTTGATGGGGAGGTCAAGTTGCAAGAGTCTAGGAGGAGGGCAGGAGTAGGGAGACTGTTCGCACCTGTTTGTCGGTTCCTGAAGAGCCAAAGGTCTGGCGGATGCTGCTCTGCAGGATGTTGGAGATGCCTTCCATGCTGAAGCGCTGAGGGAGAGAGACACTCAAGGAGGACAAAGATTTCTGGCTCTATCCTCCCTACCCCAGGGGTTTCCAAGTCCTCACTCAAACACCCAGACCCGCCAGCCATCATGCTGTTCCAGTAAATGGCCCACAGTGATGGAGAGTAAAGGTAAGACCTTGGCTTACAGAAGCAGGCCGGAACGTAAGCCTGAACTTTATAAGGATAAATAGTAGTCAAAAAAACTCTGTCTCAAAGACTCTTAGCTTAGTAAGTCCCTCAGGACAATCCCCTCTGCCCTCTCCAGCTTTGCTCATTTCATTCTCTGTCCCATAAATAGACAAGTAAGGAAGTATGGTAAAATGGAGGGGAATGATGCCGCAAAGGTCTTGGGGGAAACAAACTATTCAGCTACCAGAGAGGACAGCTTTAAAGCAACTGTCCTGATCTGGGAAGGTTTTCTTTCAAAATATGCAGGCCCTGAGCCTGATTCAGTGGGTGATAGAGCTGGGCAAAGGCATTTTGAAAAAGCTCCTCAGATGATTCTGCCTAGCTTCCACCATTAAGAACCCCTGTTTACAGAATATTGTCAAGGCCAATATGGCATCTGGTCATTATCGACCACTGGAACACACTGGAGAGCCTAGGCAGGACAACAATCCACACAACAGCCGAGATCCTGGCCCAGAGTCCCAAGGCTCCAAGTACCATCAGTCCACTTTCCATGGTCTGGCCCACAGAAAACACAGGTTACTCTCAATCATCCCCCAGTTAGACCTTCAGGGAAACAGAGGGAACAAGTGACATCTTCCCCCTCTTTATGACCCCACTGTCTGTTCCAGGGCCCCGCTCACAACAACTGAGTTGTTGCTCAGTAAGCCCAGCAAGTGCTCAGTGAGTCCAGGGCGGGGTAGGTACAGGACCTGCAGGGGTGGGTGGGGGTGGAGGCGGCTCTGTGTCTTCCTTCCGTTTGGGCTGCTCACATACCTTGAGAGGCATCTGGGTTCCCTTCTCTATTCGGCTACTCTGCAGGCTTAGTCCTTTCTCTTTCCGCCTCTTTTTCATCAGTTCCCGTTGCTCCTTCTGCTTGTTCTGAACTTCGATGAGCACCGTGATGAAGGAGTTCTTCACTTCCTTCTCAAACTCCAGCTCGTCCCTGCGGGCCAGCTGGTGCACCAGCTCCTCCGAGAAGTCACGGATGGCACCTTCCACCTGGTCCAGCAGCTCATTCAGCTCAGACCCAGACATGTGCCTCAGCCCTGTAGGGGAAGAGACCATCCCACCGATGACATCTGCAGCCAGGCCTGAGCCCAGTGGAGATGGGGCTGCCCTGGGGGAAGTGGTATTTATTCCCAAGTATTGATCAAGACCAAGCTGGTAGTAAAACAAGCAGGATGTGAGGATGTCGTGCACATATTCAGAAACACAGGAGATCTATGGAAGATGGGGGATGTGCAGGGACAAACGAAGCCCAGTGGGTACAGAGCAGTCTGCCACTTTCAGAAACAAGGAAAGGGAACCTGATATCCTGGAATATAAATAACTTTGTTTTAACTTCTTGTTCTTTAAGATTTCTTCATTTAAACTGGGCATGGTAGTGCACTCCTGTAATCCTAGTTACTCAGGAGGTTGAGGCAGAAGGACCACAAGTTCAGACTTGCCTGGGCAATTTAGTGAAACCCTGTCTCAAAATAAAAAATGGGAAAAGCTGAGGATGTAGCTCTGTAGTAGAGCACCCCTGGGCTCAATCCCCAGCACCGCAAAAAACAAAACAAACAAAAACAAAAAACCCACTTCACTTAAAATAGAGTTGGGTGGTTCACAACAACCAATCAAACATTTCAAAAGAGCTAGTAGAAAGGTTTTCAAATGTTCCCCAAATACTGCCTGGGATGTGGCTCAGTGGTACAACACTTGTCTAGCATGTGTAAAGCCCTGGATTTGATCCCTAGCACTGCCAAAATTGAAAAAAAAAAATTTCAACATAAAGAAATTATTACGTCTCGGGTGGTAGATATGCCGATCACCCTGAGCTGATCATTACACATTGTGTACATGTATTGAAATGCCAACCTGTACTCCATAAATATGTACAATTACTATGTGTCAATTGGAAATATTTTTAAACTAAACAAATAGAATAGATTTAGGGAACATCTTTTAAAGTCTATCCCTAATGGCATCTTTTATGTTCACCTCAGAATGCATTTTCCTTCCCTTTTCTGTCTCGGCTCTGCCTGGGTACTTGCTGACTTGGTTCGACTTTTCCCTTTATTTTGGTCTTTGGCACTGTCCTCCTCCTTCTGTCTTTGCCATTTCACTCAACATCTCAGCTGTTTTCATGAGTCCTTTGCTGAACACTTCTATGTTTGGGGCCTTTGTGTGGCTGAGAATGACTCCATTGGGGCGGTTGTGAATGCAGCCAGGCAGCCAAATCTATTCTGTTGCCCCAAACAGGCCATGCCCCACCTCCTCTGCTCCTTAGAGTCACAGTTTTACTTGTAGGATGTGGTGCTTCAGATCATGACTCGATTTTGTCACTTGTAACCCACATTTGGACCTTCATACCCTGAGCAAACCCTCTTCTCCTTGGTTTACAAGTCCTTTCACCTCATATGGGGACCTCCCCCTGGAAACAGATCCTCCTGGACTGTGGGCATTATTATCCCTACAGACTGATGGATTTCATGCTCAGTTTTACCTTTGCTGTACTACATTTATTTAATTTTATTTTCACACTAATTTACCCGGGCCTTTCTTTGCATGCTCATAATTACCATAAACCTGTTTCAGACCGTTAACGTGATACAGGGATTAAAAGACTGAACTCTGGAGTTAACCTCACTGCCTACAAGTGGTGAATGCACCCTTTAAGATTTATAGCAGGCGAGAGGGCAAATACAGTTTAAAATGAAAGGCTTGACTCTCTCCACTGAGCACAAGGGAAGAGGGCTGAGTTGCAGTGCGGTGGCAGAGTCCATGCCTAGCCAGCGTGAGGCCCTGGGTTCAATTCCCAGCCTTGCACTAAAGAAATAAGGAAGAGGATTTTCCTTTCCCCCAGCTCCCTTTCTTTCAGTTTCATTGCCTGTCTTCTTCAAACGTATGTTAAATCTTTTAATGGCTAAATAAGCTTCCTACCATTCCCACAATCCTGAAAGAGATCCTCAGGGGCTTGGGAGCCACTGCTTTGAAATGCAATCATCAAGGAAGATAAGACTTAATCTCCCACTGTTCTGGAAGCAGAGGGGCCTAACTCACCACCTGACTCCAAATTGCAAAACCTACTTAATGTAATGGGTTCCATCCACTTAGCTACAGCCAAGAGTGGGATTTCCTTCTATCTTGCTATCCCTTTAGCAGGTTGCCTGTAGTGCACATCCCATTTTTGTTTAATGCTTACTCGATAATAAAACTTTCTTTCTCTTCTATGTTTGTGGAGAGTTTTTTCTGGGTGGCATGTAGATTTTGTTTTTAATTTTATTACCCCAACAGTAACCTTGGACAAATCATTGAATTTCTCAAAGACCCAGTTTAGATTAAGGTCCAGCACATAGAAAGCACTACAAAAATTATGAGCTATTATTATTCCTATTTGTTTGTTTCATTGATTTTATGGTAGCATCATCTCTTGGATTTGGATAGCGGTTTAGATTTTTCCCACTTAGACTGCTTTAGTCTTGCTCTTCGGTTAGCTTTATCATTTAAATTTTGCTGTACTGCCATTTCGTTTGCAAAATGCAAACCTCTCTCCTGATGTGGAGTAGGAAAGGTGTTGCCTACCTCCTGGATTGTACACCTTTGCTCTAGGATGGTGACCTAAGTTCTAATAACTGTGTGTGAACAGTGCCTGGCACCGCTTAGGTGATGCATCCTTGGGAAGCCCCACCCTAGGGCCCTCACCTTCATAGGACCAGTTGTTGTTGAAGGTCTGTGTCAAGGCCTGCATCTCCTGCAGGAGGACGGAGTCTGCCTGGGATGAGGTTTCTCCTCCGTCCTCTTCTTCCAGAGCTTCCTCTTCCTCCTCAGGGTCCGGTGAGTTCTGCATCATTTCCTCAATCTCCTCAATTACCTGAGAAAGGTACACAAGAGAATGCAAGCTCTATTCTCTGATGAGGGAGTATTCTGAATTGGATTTTGATCAGTTAAGGATGTCTCTAATTTGCTGTCTGTAAAATTCCTGAAGCATTATCCTTTCTTAATAAATATTGAATAATAATAAAAATAGACTCAACCAAAGTCTTACACACACTCTTTCTGTAATGGTAAGCACCTCTTTCATGCAAAACCTCTTCCAAGAGCTCCATTTAGATGAATGCTTTATTGGAAATAAACTACTCTTTCAGGAAATGAAGCACAGCTGCCTGGAAAGGAATGTTTATTTCAATTTCCTGAGCATTTTATTTTGAAGTGGGAAAATATTTTATCTATCTAACCTTAACACTAAAACTCAGTCCATTAATTGTCACATTACTTGCAAGTGAAAAAATAAACAAACAAAGCATTTCCAGAACAACTCAAAGTAGGGAGGAAAACAGCTATTTGTCTAGAATTCATCTAGACAGGAACTGAAGCTCCCCAGTAACAGATAAGGATGAAGACAGGAACACAATCAGAGGATAACTCAAGTCTGGAGAGCAGGAAATAGATAAGAATTTCAGCTCTAACCTTAACTATTGAGGGTGTACAGCTCCTACAAGTGGAGGGTAAAATTAGATTCCTGCCAAAAGGAATTAGGGTGAACTGCTGTGCACAGTAATTGTTTGCACATACAGTGGGTAGGGATATAGCTCAGTAATGGAGGGATTGCTTAGCATGCACAAGGCCCTCGATTTGATCCTCGGCAACCATAAAATTTTAAAGAAAATATTAATCAAAGTTTACTTCCAAAAGCAAGTCTGCGGGTAAGTTTGGTAACAACGGTACATTTATTTATTTACTTTGGTACCAGGGATTAAACCTAGGGGTGCTTTACCACAGAGCCACATTTCCAGCCTTTTTTATTTTTTATTTTGAGACAGGGTCTTTCAACTTGCTTAGGGTCTCGATAATTGCTGAGGCTGGCTTTGAACTTGTGATCCTCTTGTCTCGACTTCCCAAGCCATTGGAATTACAGGTATGCACCACTGCACCCACCTAGCAATAGTAGTCATTTAGTCATCTGTCCCTGATGTATTCCTTTAGAATAATTCCTATTTTTATTAACATATCTTTTTAACATATCCTTTAGAATAATTCCTATTTTTATTAACATATCTTTTTAACTTCTCTTAAGAATTTAGGTCATATTTATTCTTTGACTACTAAAATCCATTTTATACAATGTGACGCAATGACATAGATCTCCTTTAAGAGTTATGGCTGAGTTTATCTAAGAGTAATTATCTTCCAATCCATATTCCTTTCTACAAGTCACAGAATAACTGTTAGCCCATTTTGTTTGTTTGTTTGTTTTAATCTGGTTTCCTTTACTTTTCTATTCTTTGTTATTTTATATTTTTCATCTTTAAAATTTATTTTATTTTTTTAAAGGTAAAAATTGAAACTTGAAAATGTATTTAAATGTTTATAAATATATTAAAAATAAAATGAAATAACTTAGAAACCAAATTCTACCTTTTTATCACAGATATGAAGAAACACCTCTAATAAAAGGAACTCTCTAGCCGGGTGTGGCATCGCACACCTGTAATCCCAGTGACTCAGAAGGCTGAGTTAGGAGGATCATGAGCTCAAAGCCAGTCTCAGCAATTTAGTGAGGCCCTGTTTCAAAATAAAAAATAAAAAGGGTTGGGGGTGTTGTTCAGTGGTTAAGCACCCCTGGGTTCAATCCCCAGTACCATAAATAAATAAATAAATGGAACTTTCTAGCACTGATGGCTCCTAGTGGAACATTTTTTAAGAATGACTCTGTAGAAACTTTCATGATGTCTAACTCAAAATAAGCACTCATGGATATTTGTTGATAAAAAAGTTGAATAAGGAAGCCAGAAACTCAACATTGTCTTCTCAAAGTAATAAATCACTAAAACTAAAATAAATTAACCCAACCAAATGTGAACACTATGTCTTTTTTTTTCACAAAGACAGAAGTGTCTCTAAGACTCCTTTTGGAAGGCTCAAATTTTTCAGTGTTTTATGAAATTTGAGAAAATATCCATCATTCAGAAGTTTCATCTGTCACTTCTCTTTTTGGAAGAACAGATATTTAAGAACTTCCTGTCAGTGCCCTGACTTCAAGTACAAGGAATTTTCAGGAAGAGGCTTAGCAGCAGGTGAAACCTATAAACACCAGGCCTGTCTCTAGCTGTCATTAAAACCTGACCCTAAGCAACCGAAGTGCTAGGATTTATGTTCACATTTACTATAGGTGGGTAAAGAGAAATTAAATCCCTTATCAAAGATACACTGAGATACCAACACAGTCATCACAAGACCATATATCTTTATCTTGGATCTGTTTTCTTTTCCTCCCCCCACCCTCCCAAACTGGGGATTGGACTCAGAAAGGCTTTACCACTGAGCTAAATCCCTAGCTCTTTGATTTTGAGACAGGATCTTACTAAATTGCTAAAGGTGGCCTGGAACTTGTGATCTTCCTGCCTCAGCCTTCTGAGTCATTGGGATTACAGGGGCATGGATTACACCATGCCCACTCTTAAACTTTTTCTTTATCAAAGGAATGAAAGGTTCCAAAAATCTACAGAGATGATCATACCTGATCTGCTGTGAGTAGAGGCTCCTCGTTGATACCAGAATCATTTTCACTCTTCTCATTGAACTCTTCCTCTTCCTTCTCATGAATCTGGAGGAGGGGAGGAACATGGGATTCTGATTGACCATCAGCAGGACTAGGATTCCCTCTGGTCTCTAAAATGGATGATTCTAAAGGGCCACTCCAGCCACCCACCATCTAAAGAAGGAAGCTGGGAGCCAGGCGCGGCATAACATGCCTGTAATCCCAGTGCTCTGGAGGCTGAGACAGGAGAATAGAAAGTTCAAAGCCAGCCTCAGCCAAAAGTGAGGTGCTAAGCAACTCAGCAAGACCCTGTCTCTAAATAAAATACAAAATGGGGCTGGGTATGTGGCTCGGTGGTCAAGGGCCCCTGAGTTCAATCCCTGGTTCAAAGAAAGAAAGAAAGAAGCTGGAGAGCGGTCCTGAGTTTCATCCAATTCTATACAGCAGACATGGCTGAGTCCAGCTTGACCAGAAAAAGACAACAGGGCTGGAACGCCAGCACCATTCTGACTCATGAGACCAGTTCCATTGTTTAACCACAGGCAGGTCATTCTGGATAAGCCAGAAACCTTCTCAAGGTGAGTGACCCTATAGCCAACTCTCATAGCAAAGACACACTTGCTTTATTAAGGAGTGTCAATTGGAGGTGTGTTTCTAGATTTTTTTCTTTTTTTAGATATTTTAAGGGGTTGTTCCAGCCCAATAGGCATGGATTTTAGAATCTGATGAAATGTCATCCTGTTTTTGGAATCCAGGTGTGGTATCTTAGCTAGTTAAGCATATGATGAAATCAACATGGGACAAACCACATACCATACCTGACCACATGGACTGGAGGATAAACTACAAGAAAAACAAAATACTAAAAGGAGACACCCATGTAGCCAATTACCCTGTGTGTCCAAAATTCTATGATCCTATGTAAATTCTAAAGGTTCACAATTATCACGATTCTAGATGTTCTTCAATGAGATATTCATAGTATAGCTGGCTTTACTGACCATATCAGTCAGTAAACTCTTATCAGTAAACTTATCAGTAAACTCATATCATATCGTATCAGTTCAACTCTTGCACAAAGTGAATCACCTAACCACCCAACCACTCCTTTTAGAAGTCTGGTTTCAAAAGTCATACTGGGGATAGCAAGTACTGTTTTCAGGAAATCCCTCTGCAGACCACCTCTCATCCTGGAAACCAATCTTCCTTCTCTCCAAGAGCTGACCTGTTGGTTGGCCCTTCCTTGGGGAATTAATTCTTCCTGTTCTAACACGAAACACCCCAGTTCCAATCCCAGCAGTCAGATCCAAGGTGGTCTATCCTAAGAAACTTCTCTCCTCCTCTCTGAGTTCTGCCTTGGCAGATACCCCTAAGAACGCACATCAACTTCTCTGTTTGCTTAAAACCAGGACGATGTTATTAACAAAAAAAAAAAAAAAAGAAAAGAAAAAAGAAATAAATAAGTAATGCCATCTGTGCTCAACCTGGAAAAGGGGTAGGACAAGGAGGTAATGGAATCATTTGAGGGGCTGGTGTGCCAGATGGTAACATCTATTTCTGCTGTTGAACCCATATGCTCAGGTCTCTGCCAAGTCTACCTCCTGTGGTAGCTGCTTGGTTTCCACAGTTTCCCGCTAGGCAGAACAAAACTCCTGGAGCTACACTTTGTTCACAACTACACTCATATGGCAGAACTTTCTGAGGGGCGGACGGTCCTGGGGTAAAAGTTAGGCTCTTACTGGGAAATGGAGCTTTTTTTGTTTTTTGCTTGGGGTATTTTTAAAATAAGTTCCTAACAATGACTGTTAGTCTATAACCGGAATTTGAAGGTGAGGGATTGGAATTAAGTCTATAAAATATTGATGTTTACATTTTCTGAAGTGTGGCCAATTTTAGTGGGTTTACGCCACTGACTTAATATTGTACCTCTCAACAACTCCATCTCCCTTCTCAAGGTCCCAGTCACCCTTCACCATACCACCACCACCACCACTACTGGGGTTCAAGGCAGGGAAGGAAGTTTTTTTTTTTTTAATATTTATTTTTTAGGGCTGGGATTGTGGCTCAGCGGTAGAGTGCTCGGCTAGCACGGGCAGGACCCGGGTTCGATCCTCAGCACCACATAAAAATAAAGGCATTGTGTAGTGTCCATCTACACCAAAAAAAAAAAAGAAAAAAGAATGTAAAATGTAAAGCAAAAATTTTAAATATATATATATTTATTTTTTAGTTGGACACAATACCTTTATTTTATTTTTATGTGGTGCTGATGCTAGGCAAGTGCTCTACCACTGAACCACAACCCCAGCTCCCCCCACCCCCACCCCAGGAAGGAAGTTTTTGGGAGAATTCCTGCCGACTGTGGAAATACTAATGACCTTGGGCTGTGGCCTGGCTGACAGAGTCCTAGAGCTTTCTCTCCCATCCACCTCTCAAGACAATGCTTACAGGTCTGAATTATCAGAATAAGGTAAAGAAATTATGAAAGCTACTATGAGTTCCTACTATTGTAAGAGCCCAACCCACCATTTATTTTCCTCAGCTCTCAGACATCTCTCACTAAAAAAATAATTAAAAGGAGTTAGCCCAGCAGCTTGGGAGGCTAAGGCAGGAGGATCATGAGTTGAAAGCCAGCCTCAGCAATAGTGAGGTGCTAAGCAACTCAGTGAGACCCTGTCTCTAAATAAAACACAAAATAGGGCTGGGGATGTCACTCAGTGGTTGAGTGCCCCTGGTATCCACCCCACCTCCACAAAAAAGAAATCAGGTGCACACCTGTAATCACAGCAATTCAGGAGGCTAATGCAGGAGAACCTAAGTTAGAAGCCAACCTGAGCAATTTAGTGGGACCCTTGGTAACTTAGCAGAACCCTGCCTCAAATTAAAACAAAACAAAAAACCAGAACTGAGCATGTAGCTCAATGGTAAAGCACCTCTTGGTTCAATCATATCACCAGTATAATCAATCAATCCATCAATTGAAAGGAAGCATATACACTAAGGACTCCCATGAAAGCCCTGGCTCCTTTCTTCCATCTGACTGTTTCTTAGCCCCTCCCTGGGTTTCACCATGTCCACCATGCCTCTGGCCTTTGCTTCTCTTCCTCTGGTGTTTGTTTCTGACCCTCTCATTCACCCTCACTGCTTTCAGTATTTTCTCTCAATCCTACTAGTCTCTGTTCTGCTCCAATAACTTCTGTCGCTTCTCTACAAGTCCTGTTCCCTTCCCATGGGCTGTTTACGGACTCCTGCCCTTCCTTCCCTTACCATGACAGTATCTTGTACAGACAGTGGGAAGCTGAAGGAGGACAGACAGGCCAAGGGAGAGGAAGGCTTTTGGAAAAAACCACAGCACTTCTGCTATTCCTAGTATATGACAGAGCCACAGAGAGTTTCCTTGGCCACTTGTGCAGCAATGAGAAACCTACATGCAGGCTAAACCTGATACTTGTTTAGAGAATTAGACTTTTCTAACAAAAATCATCCTTCCAAATTCCTTCCTCCCAGAATTGAGAAGACCTGGATCCAGAAAGGAGTCTGACTGCCCCTTTCAGTAAGCCGTTTCTTCCTCCTGCTTTGGGTAAATGTGCCTCAGAGCTGTCACCCAGTAGCTGAAAGCTTGCTAATGATTGCAGACTCTGACAGTGCTAAATCTTGCTGCGTGATAGTTTGAGTGAAGGTTAAAATTCTGTGAAGTCCTCTTGTCTGATTATGACTGTTAATCAATGTCTTTTGTTAAAGCATTCCAGATGATTCCATTCAGAGAAAAGGGAATTTCTACTTCTTTTCCTTCCCACCATTGATTCACATGGTTGGTTGCCTCCCTGAACAAAATTGAGAGAACAGCAATCCTTTTTTTTTTTTTAAAACCTCCAGACAAAAAGTAGAAAAAAAGAAAAGAAACTCATCAATATGTACCCAACCCAAGGAAAGGGCAACTGTGTCCCTTTTATGCTTGTGAACAACCAGGAAACATCTGTGTGGGTTAAGTCAAAGGCTCTGTATTCCCACAGTAAGATGCTCCAGAGCATGTGGCCAACAAATATTTATTGAAAGACTTAAAGAACAAACGACAAAGAGAGGACTGAAGGGTAGTGCTGTGATCGCCTAGACTCAGTCCCACCTCCACAAATAACTTAGCTTCTTGAGAACAGAAAGATGTAACTTCCTGTCCTGAACTTCCTTTTTCTCTTGCCCTAGACAAGTACTGCCTGATATTGAAAGTTATAAGGACCAGAAGAGACTTTTAAACCCAGTGCGATGGCACACACCTGTAATCCCAGAAGCTTGGGAGGCAGGGCACAATGATCGCCAGCTCAAAGCCAGCATCAGGAATGGCAAGGAGCTAAGCAATTAACTCAGTGAGACCCTGTCTCTAAATAAAATACAAAATAGAGCTGGGGATGTGACTTAGTGGTCGACTGCCCCTGAGTGCAATCCTTGGTATCCCCGCTGCAAAAAGAGAAAGATTTTAATATCACAGTCAGGAACAGAATAAATTTATTCATAGAACCAATCCAAAGTGGGTAATCATTAAATAATAATATTAATAATACAGATAGAGCTCTAGCATATTATTTGGACCTAAAATATAAATGCACATTTATTTATTTACCAATATCCCATATAAAGCCAAGCTTCTCTGATGGACCGCTGAGCAGAGTTCTACATAATATTTCTTACAGCATCTACATTATAACTTTTTTATGTGGTGGGGGGGGGGCGGGGAGGTCCTGGGGATTGAACCCAGGGTGCTTAACCACTGAGCAACATCCCCAATCCTTATATATATATATTGGAGATAAGGTCTTGCTAAATTTCTTAGGGCCTCACTAAGTTGCTGAGGGTGGCTTTGAACTTATGATCCTCCTGCCTCAACCTCCTGAGCTGTTAGGATTACAGGTATGCACCACTGAGCTCAGGTATAATTTAATTTTAAAAATGATTTCCCATTTTCTTTGTAGTAGAAAGACAGTACATGGAAGATTGAACCATAGTTTTCTCCTCTTCCTCCTTAAATCCTACTAAAGTGAGAATAAAGGTACCAAGAAAGACTATCCCTCAGG